CGCCCGCGCCCCTTCTCTCCCAGCGAGCCCTGGCGCACAGCGCCCCGGACCTCGCAGGTACCGCCGCTGAGCCCTTACTGGGTGCCTCCGCCGCTTGGCGGCCCTTAGCTTCGGCCGCCGCTCCCCTCCCCGCCGCCCGCGCCGGACCGAGCGCTGCTCCGCGCGGCCTTCGCTCTCGCCCCCCCACCCGCTGGGGCTGTCTCTCCTCAGCCGCCGTAACAGCGGCCCAGCCCTCCGCCCCTCCTCTTCGACCCCCTCCCCCTTAATAGCTTCCTCCACGCACCCGGGCCCCGGCGCCGCCTTCGCCTCTGCGCGCCCGGATGTGAGGTGCCCATGGCGGTGCCGGGCGGAAAAGAGAAACAGCGTGGCGCGCTCCCCGGGTGTCGGCCCCCGCGTGAGCCCAGCGACAGGGAGGCAGGAGCGAAGAGGGGATGGCGGGGGCGCCGAGGAGGCCGCGGCGTGGGCAGCGGAAGCCCACTGCTGTGCGCGCAGGCGGTCGTCGTGGGCAGCCCGGGGAGGACGCCGCGTTCCCACGCGCGCTGCAGGGGCGGGGCAGCGGAGCTGGGGGCGGGAGACACCCTGCCGGACTGCTCGTTTGGGGAGTCGGTGGCCCGGGTGGGGGTTAGGGGGCTGCGGCGTGGCGCGTCCTTGGGGGCGCTTTTCGCGTGGGCGGAGAACCTTGGGGCTTGGGCAGTGGAAATGAGTTAGGCGCACGTGGGGGCGTGTAGCCAAACCTCCGTACCTTTTCATGAGTGGTATCATCTTGGACAAAGCTGTGGCTTTTCTAGGTTTTGTTTTTTTCCTTTCGAAAGTGGTCTCGCTATAAATTGATCAGAAATAAGAGAGATGACGCGTTGCTGTGTTAATATGCAGTTTAACACGGTTGCTTTCGATTGAGCTAAGGGTGACAAACGAATTCACTGAAATGGTATAACCTGAGTGAGCCTGCACAGGAAGGGGAAGTGCGAGTATGGTTGGCTGAAAATGAAATGGCGAACGTCTACGTCTAGCCTCGTACATCGTCCCGAGACTGGCCTACAAGGGCACAGAAATACAAATATCACTTCCCTACTCTGAGCCACGAGAGTAACGTGCTGGTGAGGGGAGGTTAAAAGCGGGGAGGTTGATGGAAGTTAGAGAGTCTGGTCTGCAGGACTATCGCGATCCCCAGTTTCTGCCGGGTGGGACCGCCCAGGGTTGATTTGAAATGATACATGGGTGTGGTGAGAGAAATAGAGAACTGTAGTTTTTTTTCTGAAGGACAGCAAAACTGGCATTTCTTTGAATACTTATTTTGGGCTTCACTCTTCGCTTGTGAAATAGAAGACTAGCAATGATTTATGGCTAATTTTCCTTTTAATGTTGGTAATAGAAAGCTATGAAACTTTTTTTTTTTTTTTTTGGTCTGTAATGTTATCTAAAGTGTGTATTCCTTACAAATTTTTTTGCAGGCAAGAGGCAGAATTAGGCTATCTTTATGGTTGCTTTTCTCGTTTGCAAAATTGGATTGAGAACCCATTCACAGCTGTTAAGAGTAAATAGTATAAGGTGGGTGAAAGCCTTATGCAACCTCCATAAAGCAGCTATTTTTCTTAAGCCTATACAAAGTTACTTTGTAGGTAATCAACAGTGTTTTTTGTTTTATTTTAAAAATCCAGTTCCTTGTGAACCCAGAGTCCATCTAATGCTGGGGAAAATGACCCAGTCCCCTTGTCACAAGAGTAGTGGAGAGCCCATTCTTTGAAATTCTTTGTCTTGGCTCTGCCCCTTAATGTGAAATGTGAACCAGTATTTTAACCATTGTGGGCCTATTTGTTGTCAAAAAGAAATAGTGCCTAGTTTTCAGGCTTGTTAGGGGGAATTAAAGATAACATTTCCTTCTGGTTTTCTGTTGCTATTTAACAAACCATCCCAAAACTCAGTGGCTTAACCCAGCATGCAGTTTGCACCCAAATCTGCAACTGGGCCTGATTTAGATGGAATAGCTAGTCTCTTCTGCAGTCAGCAACAGCTGGGCTGCTGGAAGGCTGGGGACTGGGGTCATCTGAAGTCGCTTGCATGTTTGGTGGTTGAGGTGGATGTTAGCTGGGCCCACTGGAGATGTGAGCTGGAATACTTACACACAAACTCTCTGTGGCCTGAGCTTCCTCACAACATGGTATTGATGCTAAAGGCAGATGTTCAGGGAGAACAAAGCCAGACAGTTGCTGAGTTGTCTTTTCTCACCTAGTCTTGAAGATGCTCAGTGTCATGTCTGCCACATGTGACATGCTGTTCCTTAAACAGAATCACTAGTGCTTGCTATATTCAAGGGGAGAGGACTGAGACTCCACCTTTATGGGGGAAGTATATAAAGAATTCCTGAGCATATTTTTAAATTACCATAAAGGGCCTCCCTGCTGGCATAAGGGGTTAAATCTCAGCACTATGAAGCTTTGGGCAGCCACTGTCATCCCAAGCCAGGTTGCTAACCACATGATATAGCAGACCTGTCTCCCCTACTACTTCCCTCAGCAGTGTTTTAGTAGATCCACCTGTTCTGCTCCTACTCTCTGGTGAATCCTCTTACCTCCCACCCCCTTACCTTTGGCCTATACCCCAGGTCTTCTATGTGTAAATAAACAAAATCTTAAAAATAAAATAAAATTACCATAAGCCATGCCTGAAACGTGCTTAGTGCATTGTAGCTATCATGATAGAGGCCTGACCTGGAGCTAAATTCCTGGGGCTTATCCTAATTAGGATTTAGTGACACCAGGTTCTTTAATGTCTTTTAGAACCTTGACCTCAATTCACATATTAACCTCCTAAACTCTCAATTTGGTCTTGTAAAAGAAGAAAATTATTACCTGGGACTAAAGATTATTAAGGAAGAACAAAATCTAGATAGATACTTGCAAATTGGTGTTTCATTGTAGCTTTTGAATGTTATTTCTCCTTGGCAGGAATCTTTGTAGTTATAAATGCCTGTTTTTGCAATTAGTGCATTTTCAAACAGCAGTACTGGAAACCTCTTAGTGTAAAAGACACCATTACTAGTCCCCTTATTAAATATTTGAACCTTTTGGTTCAAATTTTGACATAGGGTTCACTCTTTTGGGAAAAGGTCACTCATTTGGAAAATTAACAGTGCAAAACTAAGAGAAACATGAAAATACTGGAAACCTAGAAATTATGAGAGCTCTCTTTATTCTAGATCATGTTCTAACCTTCACCCCTCCCCCACCTCAGGGCTAATTATTTCATTATCACTCAAATGGAAAATACCTTTCATAGTTTCTTAAATTGATAAAGGTGATGGTGGTAAATATGCATTACAGGAAGAAAGCACCAATACACTATCTAGAAAGCATGTTTATTGACTTATCCTGCATTAGCCATAATGTGTAACTGCATAGTTTATATAAAAGTGCTTACAAGAAAGACTAATAAGTAAATATTAGCTAATAGTGTTAATTAGGACTTTGAAATTCCCAAATTATTTTTAAAACCACTTGGCTACATTGTTTCAGGTAAGAGTCTTCTTTAAACGTTGGTTCCCTTTTCCTGCTAAAGTGAAACTTCTTTTAAATACCCATTGTACAGAAATTAACATGTAGAACAAAAATGCCAGTTACTTGTGATTCGAATCCCAAAACCCAAGAAGTTATTTTTCCTTTCAAGCTTTTAAATACTTAATGCTAGCCTTTGTTCTGTCCACTAAAAATCTCAAATACATTCAAATGGTGTCTTACAAAGCACAGGTGGAAAACATGACTATCTCACCCATTCTCCCTATTTTTAAAAGATTTTCAGGATGGATACACAGTAAAAATATATATATATACACATATATATACATATGTATATATGTATATATACTAACAGTGCCGTAAAAATTACATTTTTTAGGGCCTCCCTGGTGGCGTAATAGGCTAGGGCACAGCACTGCAAGCCAGCGGCAGCCGCTTCAGTGAGAGTTCGATCCCCGCCCCAGAGGTGACCCACGTGGCATGGCTGACCTCTCCTGACCCGCCCAACACTCCTCTCAGCAGTGTACTTGTCAGTCGTCCAGTTCTGCTTCCCACTCTGACTCTGGTGAATCTTCTCACCGCACCTCTGGTCTGTACCCCACTTCTGTATACGTAAGTAAATAAATCTTAAAAAATTAAAAAATGAGATAACGGTTCAAAAAATTGCATTTATACAGGAAAGGTTATAAGATTGAAATAAAATAACTTAAATTCGCGACTGCAGGATGTCGCCCTAGCCCTCTCGCATATGCGCGTTCGCGCACCCTACCGCCCAGGGCTCGCACTCCCGTATACCCCGAAGAACCAAGAGCCAAAGAGGCGCACTGGGGAGCGTGGTTGGGGTGAACCGCGCCGGCCTCCCGACGGGAACCTGCCTAGTGTTTTCTCCACGGAACGTAACTTGGAAATCACTTTGAAACAGCTCCCGCTCTTATAAAAGCAGCAGCAGAAAGCTGAGCTCAGAGAAACTAGTGGGCAAAAAGAGCTGAGCCTCGGTGGGGCCGCCAGAGCAAGCCCTTGCCAAGGACCTCGAATCAATTACAACGGCTAGTGGGTGCTCCTAAGCCGGGGAGGGGGCGTGTCACAGTCCAGACTGAGGCTGCGTGGACTCCCGGGTCTCGGCGGCGTCCTACACACACGTCACGTCGCCGTGGAGACGGGGGCGGAGCGGGCGCTCGACTGGCGTCTTCAGGCGCGGGAAGCCGGAGGCGGGCGTGGGCTGCGCGGGCCGGGGGAGGCCGACCCGCTTCTGCGGGTTCCTGCCGGGGCTGCTCTGCGGCGCGAGGCCGGAGCGCAGAAGCCCCTCAAATTCAAGGTCCCGGAGCTTGCTCGTCTCAGCGTCCAGGTGGCTCGCTTCTTGGGCCGGGAGCCCAGCTGCGCGCTCTAGTCCCTCCGAACGCGGCGGGGTGAGCGTCCCGCCGGGGCCTCGGCTTCCTCTGGAAGCACAGGTGACGCTGCTTACCTGCGGGCTGTGGTCGGGGGTGGAGGAGCTGGGAAAGAGCGCGCTGGACGGCGGCGGGAGCTCGCCCTCCTTGCCCCGCGCGGCGCCCGCGCGTTGTTTGCCGCGTGCTTTCTGTGCGTGTCTCCTGGGCAGGACAGGGAGTGGCGGGGCGGTGGGGGGGACTAGTACGCTCCTTCGGGGCCGGTGCTGGAGACAGTGCAGGGGTTACTAGAAGGCGCCGGTCGAGTCAATCCGTGGGGCGTGACGCGGCTGGGGATCACAGTGTGCAGCCTGGAGGGGCCACAGCTGAGTAGTTAGGGTTAATTGGGCAGACACGGGGATTCCTCCCCCGCGGTGGGAGATTGGTGCTCGGTTGTAGTTTGACAGGTGACTTCTTATTTCTTGTTAATTTCCACGTAGATGTAACTGTTGAAAGGATGGAATTAGGAACCTGAGAACCAGTCCTAGCTCTACAACTTACTGGTGACGCTTCTGCTGTGAGGTGAAGGTGGCTACCACCTGTGGGGGTGGTTGCAATTAGAAAGCAGATAATTAACGGAAAGCGCTTAGTCCTATTGTTAGCACAGGATAACCGTTCCATAAAGGTTCTTTTGAATCTATTTATAAATTTAAGATTGTGTGTTACTCATCTGAGTGCCATCAAAGTATGACGATGGGTGGTGTCAAGGAAGGCTTCCTAGAAAAAGTAGTTGAAACTTATTCTGGGCCTTGAGACACAAATTTAGGTATTTCTTGGCTTTTTTTTAGTCTGATCACTCATATCTCATTGTCATAAGGTGCAGAATACTGTAGAAACTTCAAGACACTTTTACATTTATATTTTTCCAGTTAACATGCATAGTTTTAAAAGTTAATATTAAAGGTTTTAAGTAGAAAATAGCCCATGCCCATTTCAGATTTTAATACTTCTAGATGTTTCTCCCGACGTTACTTATAAATGGGAAGTAAATATTCTTATAGTTGACATTTCTTCATTTGTTAGTTTTACACATTGTGTTGACTGTTATTCATAGGAGACAAATCCTTGCTCACGGGTTTCCTTTCCTCATCTCCTCAACATACTTATGTGATAATTTGTTGTTAACAGTCAGTGCTTATGTTATAGAACAAATATTTACTGCTGGACCAAATAGAGTACTGCAGCTCATTTGCAGTACTTCTCATCATTTTTCTGGGAATCAGTGACTTCTTGTCTCCTTTATTTAATATTCCATGCACTAAGCACTAACATTTTTTTTCTGAATGCTTCAGCTTTTGTCATGTGCCTATTAGTAATTTTTCCATTCTCTCAAAACTGAGTTTTATCTCTTTCTTCCTGGAGACCTTGTCTCTGCAGTACCTAGTTCTAATCCAGAGATTTATTTTCCCATTTGTTCTGAGATTTGCTTCTCTTTGCTGTCTTCTCTTTTGTTAGCTTTGCTGATGCCTAGATTCCTTATATGTATATATATGTGTATATATTTTTTTTTCTTGATTTGCTTCCTTGGTTTTTGGAGCATATTTTCCTATTGTATTATTCCTGTCCCTACCACCATTACTACTCCCACTCCTTCTTCTCTTCCCTTCCCCTGTACTGTGCTATACTTCCTGACCACTTAACTTCTTTGGTGAAATGTCTATTCAGATCCTTTGTCCATTTTTTAATTGGGTTATATGGCTTTTGATTATTGAGTTGTAATAATTAAGTACAAAATAAGTCCCGAGCCCTCCCTGGTGGTGCAGCAGGTTAGGACGAAGGCCACAGGGCTTCAGTGCAAGTTGATCACCAGCCTGGGAGCTGACGCACATGGCGCAGCAGACCTCTCCTGTCTAGCCTGCTGCTCCCCTCAGCAGTTTACTTCATTGATCCACCTGTTCTGCTCTCTACTGTGTCTGGTGAATCCTCTCACCACCCCTGCACCTTTGCCTGTACCCCAGTTCTGTACGCATAAATAAATACATAAATCTTTAAAGAAAAAAAAAATGTCCCTTAGCAGATTTGCACATATTTTCTCTCACCCAGTGGAGCAAAGCTAAAATCCTTTATCTTCCCCCCCCCTTTTATTTTCTTGATGGTGCCCTTTAAAGCACAAATGTTAATTTTGGTAGTGTCCAGTTGTCCATGTCAAGAAAAGGATATCTTAAGCTTCTTCTCCTTGCATATTAGAAAGTGGTTGTTCTGCATTGATGTTTGACCTTTCTTAGTCTCTGAGGGTTATCATCCTTTAGTTTTGACAAACTTCCCTTTTAGTTCATCATAGTTTCTTCCTCATACTTCACATGCTCATACTTTTCTTTCTGAAATCCTGCTATTTATAGGGTCCCCTGGATTGAGCCTCTGATTTTCTTTTTCCTTATTTTTTTAAAATTTCCTGTTGTCAACTCCTCCTAGCAACCCCCTACCTCCCAACACTTCTTCAATGTTTTGGATCTCCTGTTTGTTTCTTGATTTTGCTTTCTTTTTTAAAAAATATTTATTTATGCATACAAGAATTAGGGTATAGACCAGAGGTGCAGGGAGTGAGAAGATTCACCAGAGACAGAGTGGGGAGCAGAACAGGCAGATGTACTGAAATACACTGCTGAGGGGAAGCAGCAGGTGAGTCAGGAGAGGTCTGCTGTGCCATGTGGGTCAGCTCCCTGGCCTGGGATCCAACTCCTGCTGCAGTGACTGCCCATAGCTTTATAGTGCTGAGACTTAACCCCTTGTACTACCAGGGAGGCCCCCACATTGACAACTTTTTAACTTTTTTCCTTATAAAAAAGGAAAGAAAACATTTTTTTCCATAATTGCAGAATAGGGGCTTTCCAAGTCTTTAACTTCCTTCACATTTCTCAGTGGGGAGTCTGTGTAAGGATGGGCCCTCTCCACCATTTACCTACCTGCCTGTTCTTTATTATAAGTCTAGAATCCTAGATTCCCATTTTATTTAAGTTTAAAGTTCTCTGGTTGGTTTGTGATTTTTGTTGTTGTTGTTGTTAAATCTAAAGGGGCAGGCTTATTATAAAGAGGGGAGAAGAATAAAGGACACTTACACAGAGACATGTGGGCAGAAAGAGCTGTCCCTGAAGGGAGGCTTGTGACCTGCATGGTCACAGGTGGGCAGAGGACTGCTGCTGCCTGTTCATGCTTTTTTGTCAGCTAATTTGTAGTTAGTTTGTTAAAATCAAGATTCAGAATCAATCCATACATTGTATTTGCTTGAGATTTTTTTTTTTCAATTTTACTTAAGCAGTGTTAAAAAGTAGACAATCGTGCACTTTTACACACCGTCCACATGCTCCCTCTCAAGAGCATGGCATCCATTCCTCCAGTTGCTAGAAGTGTTGACAACAAAAGACTTGTGTTGCCCGCCAGTAATTGTCAATGTTAAGTAACACAAGGTTATCCCTTCTCACTGGCAGCCCACATTCAAGGACTGAACAATCCTGGAGGGTATGAATAACCAGCTCCTTAACCTCAAGGCTGAACAACTCTGAAGGGCCATTCCAGTTTCTGAACTCCCTGTGGAAGGGTGATGTCTCTGTGACTATCACAGTCCAGCACATCCTCTGACTGGCCTTGCTTTCCTCAGTCTCCTGTGAGTGTTGATATTGGCAACACTCTACACTGAACTTTCTAGATACTATCTCAGTCTCTTTTCTAGGGCATTAAGATAGTAGCATTAGTGAAGAAAGACGATATTAGCCTGGGTTTAAGGGCATGAATTCTGAAGTCCATTAAATCAAGTTCAAATCTCAGATTTCCATATACCTCTGAACATCTTTAGTAAGATGCTTCCATTCTCTGAGCTTCTGTTTCTCTATAAATAACAATAATGTGGCATGGAAATGGCTGTTGCTGATGAATACTTTAGCTGTGATAAAGTTCTTAGCAATATACTTGATGTAATTAGCAGTCAGTAAATGGACGCATATATATTTATTGAAGTATGTGTCTTCTGTAGGATTCATAGTGAACTACACTCTGAGCCAAATTTTGAGTGCAAGTTTATTGGGAAAATAATCCCAGGGAGCACTCATAGGAAGAAAAGAAGTGAGACAGAGAAGGAAATCAAAGCCAGGTACATTTGAGAAAGCTCTGAGAAAGTTACCCACTTAGGATTCAGGCTCAAAAGGGCCTACAAAAGACTGGGTAGAACTTGCTTACCTCAAGTTGTGCCAGCAGAGGAGTAAGGAATCTGTGGTGTAGGAATCCTGTTCATCATTGGTTTAAGGCCTTTCCTCGACTTCCTTTCTTTACATTTTACATCAGCTTCCTCTCTCTCCTCCACTATACCCCCAAGTCTGTTTCTCCCTTCCTCACCTTAGTATCTATCAATGTTTACTAGTGTTTGTATTTTACTTCAAAAAATTGTCCACCATGCAAATGTCCCGTGTTTGTCTTTGTCTTTCTGACTTTACTACACTAAATTCCCTCAAACTCCATGAGTGCATTTCATCTTTTCTTCTGGCTAGTTGATACGCATTTTAAATGTATTTTTTAAAAGATTATTTTATGCATACAGAACTGGGGTACAGGCCAGAGGTGCAGGGCTAGAGACAGAGTGGGGAGCAGAATGGGCCTATTGATGAGGTACACTGCTGAGGGGAGCAGCAGGTAAGACAGGGGAGGTCTGCTGCACCATGTGAGTCACCTTCCTGGCCTGGAATTGAACTAGTGGTGAAGCGGCTGTGGCTAGCTTTGTAGTGCTACGCTTTAACCTGTTGTGCCATCTGGGAGGGCCCTTAAATCTCCTTTAATGCACGTTTTCTCTCCTTTTAGCTTTTTTATAGAAGGAACTGGGTTGCTTGTCTTGTAAAATTTACTACATTATCAATTTTGGGATGTACAAGTCATTTTAATTTGTCCCCATCTTTTTTTGTAAGCTATACTTAATTCTTTTGTTCAAGAAAAATTTATGCACAAAAGAGCTGAGGTGTAGCCCAGAGTTCCTGAGGGGGCATGGATGGTGAGAGGGTTCACCTGAGACAGAGTGGAGAGCAGAACAAGCACTGCTAACAGGA